TCTGGGGGGTTCCTGCCGGCATGGAGCCTGGTGGAGGGGCCACCAGCAGGACCGGAAACCTGGGGAGAACGTCTCTGGCTGCCACTGATTTCTGTTCCTAGAATTGATGTTTTTCTACAATTACAACCTTCCCTCCTTCATTACGTCTCCTGTGTTCCTGAGGCAGTAAATACCAGGGATATGCATTACATTTCCCATAACTTACTTTCAATGATCAGAAAAGCTTCTATTAATAGACCTGCTGTTGACAGGGAATCTGGCTCTGAAGTTCAGAGTGAGGTTTCCAAAGTAGTTGTTACCTGTTTAGCACAGAGATGCCCACTTCCCTAACTCTGTCCTCTGGGCAGCAGATGAGCAGTTGAAAACATGGCCCCTGGACCCAGTGCCTGGGTTCAATCCTGGCTTTGCCCCTTACTAGCCAGATGATCTTGGGCTAGTTATTGATCCTGACTGTATTTCTGTCTCTCTATCCGTGAGATGAAAATGATGACAATATTAATTCCTAGAGTTGTTAAGAAGATTAAATGAGTTGATATTTGTACAGCGATTAGCACTCTGTAAGCACTCAATCAGGGATTTTTGTCAAATACCCAAAGCTTAATACATCTAAGGACCCTGACTCCTAAGGGTACCTAGCTAGCCCTAAATGGTTATAACCTGTTCTGGAGGACAGACTGAGGATGACTGTGGTAAAAATATATATAGGGGTCACCCAGCTTAACCCTGGTCTTATTATTGATATTTAAGCCTGATAGAACTGTCCTTGTGAATTAACCAGTTTCTCTCAATCTTTACTTTCCTTCATTTGTGTTATATGTGGACAAGTTCTGGAAGGAAGACAAGAAAGAGAGAGGGAAAGGAAGGAAGAAAGGAAGGAAGGAAGGGAGGGGAGAGAGGGAGGGAAGGAGGAAGACTAGAGGGAGAGAGGGAAGGGAAGGGAGGGAGGAAGGATCAGGTTGAGATGGCTGGATTGTGGTAAAATTCTCATTTTTAAAATAATTTTCCATCAGCATTAGAATCATAATACCAAATGTTCAATAAATGATGCCAAACTCATTCTTCCCTGGACCTTACAGTTTCTAGAAAACCCAGATCAGAAGAGGTTGCTCAGAGTCAGGCTGGCTGGGCCACTGGAGCCAGGAATGGGCTGCAGAGTTATAAGGCCCCTTACTGGATGAGCATCTGCCCACCAGCAGCATAAGAGAGACTGACTGTCACCTCCACACTTGCAAACAGTCTCCCCACTCCTGACACCATCAACAGCATGGGCTGCACAAAAGCTCAATCATTTCCCACTTCCAGGCCAGGTATGCCAAGGAAAGAGCTTTCTTTTACTCAAGGTTGCCTGAAAAGGTGAAGCCTGGATCCCCTCCCCCAGCATCTAAACACACACACACACACACACACACACACACACACACACACTTAGCGTAGATTTAGTGTGCCTAAAGGTTTGGATTATATGTCGTAAGAGCTACATGCTTGTTCAAAGCCTTCATGAAATTGTTGCAGTGGAGGTTCAAGGCAGCCCTGAGAAGGTGTTCATGACTAGGCTGGCCAGAAGGCCAAAAAAGAAGAAGAAATCCTCCATCCTGCTCCCCTGGCTCTCCGGAACCCTACAAAGATCATTTCAAGCAAAGCACTCCACTTTTTTTTCTCAGAAAAGCCTGCTTCACAAAGGCCTAAACTGGTAGTTCCCGACAGGGGGCGATTATGGCCCCCAGGGGACATTTGGCAGTGCCTGGAGACATTTTTGATTCTCACGACTCGGGTAGGGGCTACTGGAGTCTGATGGATAAAGGCCAGAGATACTGCTAAACATCTTACAGTACACAGGACACCCTCCACAGCAAAGAAAATTCCTGTGCCAAATGTCAATAGTGCCTAGATAGAGAGATCCTGACTTAAACCCAACTCCCACTGCCTTGGAGGAAGAAATCCCTCAGAACTCCTCCAGCTTCTTAAGCAGAGAGCAAATTGGAGCATGGGGTGGGGGTGGCGGGGTAGCCCAAGAGAATCCTTTCTCAGGCCCCACACTAAGAATGGGGAGGTCCCAGCAGACTCCTTCCTCCTTCTGCTTTGCCTCCAGAACACAAAATCCTGGCATCTGAAAAGATTAAATAAAACCCACGATTCCCAGCCCCTCAGGCTGCATAACCCTGCCCCTCATCTCCTATTTCCCTCCTGCACCCCCTCACTCTAGGAGCACAGTTGGAAATTCAACTTGCAATCTTTACTGTCCAGCCCTCAAAGGCTCGGCCTGCTTCCTCTCCCAGGGACAAAGTCTCCTCAACGTCCTGCCTCCCTTTGAGATGAGCCCCCCAACCCTGCCTCTTTCACCAACTGTAAGTTTTTCTTCCCCACCTCCCTCTACCCCGCCTTCTCTCTCTAATTAAACCATGTCCAGGGTGTTGGGAGGGAAGGGGAAAGCATTCTGAAGACTTCCGTGCTGCAGGTTCTGGGGGCCTCCAGCCTCACATTTTTGTGAGGTGCCAGCCACGCTGTGGTCATTAAACCCCACGGTGGTGGGGGGATTTTCTTGTTGCTATTAACCTGAGAGCCAGCTACATCTTGTTTATCAGACTTGTTTTAATTCAGCTTGGTCAGGTTCCAAGTGTTGAGGTGGAGATTAAAGGCAACTGAAGAATCCAATTAGCTGCCCAGTCTTCTTTAAGCCAAAAAATCAGGTCACAAACTAGATCAAAGTGAAATTATTTCTCAACAGCTCTCTTCATTAAGGGGAGGGTGGGAGCTCACACTGCTAAGCTGGGCTCATTACAGGGATTGGCATTTTAAATACAGTATCTCCCCCAAATTACATGTTTCAGAGGTCACAGGGAGAAACCGAGATTATCTTATGTGAAGTCTCTATTTGGCTAATGGAAAACAGAAAGCTGAAGAATGAGCATATAACTTCTAGGAAAGGACTTAAACAAGGCCCCAATTTTCCTGGGCCGGAAAACCAAATCTGGAAACTGGAATTGGCAACAATCACTCCCAGCCAGAGAATTCCTCCTCCCGGGAATCTACAGAGCTGAGAAGTTTAAGTTTTCCAGGTGGCCCTGTTCACCCACTTTCCTGAGAGCCCACCCCTTTCCCTGGCTGGGTACAGCTCCAAGGGAGGCCCCCTGGCAGCCCAGCCCAGCCCACCCAGCCTTCCCCAGGCCCCAGGACCCAGGCAGCCTTTAGAGAGAAACCACTCACCATTTCTGGATTCTGGGTCCCAGGCTGAGCCATTTCCAGCAGGAAGAGTCACCCCTTGGGCCTTTCTGTGTCTCTGTGGGCTCTTTTTAGGGGGTTGGAAAACAGAGGAGGAGGTGAGCAAGGAAGGCCCTGATCAGATTCACTTCCCATAGGGAGGATCAAATATTGGATTGCTGTGAGGGCATTCAGAAATCCTCAATTCTATGTGAGTCAAAGAGACGGAAAAATTACATTCAAGAGAGCAGTAACAGGACACATGCCCTCCTTCCTCTGTTGAGCACTAGTTTTGAACTAAGTTAAGAAATCAACAGAAACAGTGGCTTTTTTTTTTTTTTCTTTCCCTGTCCCCCTCTGCTTGCAAAATACTGCTTAGCCTCTCAGGCAACCAGGAACCTCTGGGTTAGAAGATGGCCTTCCAGGCCACAAATCTCCTGGGACACTGTGAATGTGGTTAAGTTGTGTGGTTTTTTTGGGGGGGAGGTGGGTGGAGGACTTCAGATTGTAGCCACTTCTGGGGTCTCTGAAATCTGAATCACTAGTGAGACCCTTTCCCAAAATTCCCAATCTCTCCTTCTCATCCAAGTAGGACCTGGGAGCAAAGCCACTGTACCCAGAGGCCTGACCCCCTTGAGTGGGGTAAAGATGGGAGAGAGAAAGGGAGAGAGGGAAGAAGAACAATAGGAGGGAATCTGAAAGATTTGGTCTGTGCCTCCTGCCAGGGCCTTGCTGTGCCCAAATTTCTAGCTGTTGCGTAACTAACCAACTCCCTTCTCCAGGTGTGGGGGTCTTGGCAACTTCAGTAAGTGGAGGCATCCAAGGCATGGAGTTTACTTTGGGGCCGCAGCTACCCAGGACCTAGGCTTTCCCTCTCCCTTTCATCTCCCTCAGCCAGAGCCTGAACCTCAAGGCAGAGGCTGGGAGATCAATTCTCAGGGAACCTCCCTCAACATTAGTAGATCTGAGGCCCCCAGACCCCTGAGTCTACACAACCACAGTCGAAAGGAATTCTCCCTGGATGTTGCATTTGCAGCAGGAACAAATCGTGTCTGGTGGGTTTTGTTTTTCTTCTCTGTGTGAGTATTTCCCTTCCGGGGATTATGTCATCCTCCCGGATCCTTCCACGCCCTCCTGCCTTTTCGCCATGCCCTGGGGCACAGGGCAACAGCGCTGCCAGGCCTCAGGTCGCTGGATCCCACACCGATTTTCTTACGTGCCTCACAACACTAAATGAATGCCCGTTTTTTATTTGTTTTCTTTTGTTTTAAATCAGCGGCGTAAAATGAGCTTCAAAATCTGGTCGGTTGTTCCCTAAAAAGAAATGAGAGGACAGAAGCCCGCGGTGGAATTTTGCACTACAGGGAGCCCGGACCCAGTGATTCCTGTAGGGGAGTCTGCTGGCCTCCAGCAGAAAGGAGCTTCCCGCGGCCGCCCCGCCGAGGCCGCGCTCAAGGGGTTTCGCGTCCGGAGATCACAGAGCCAGAGGCTAACCCAGCCTGGCACTCCGGCCGATCGCCACGACCTTGTTTTTGTCCTAAAAGCCGAAGCTGAAATAGAAATCTGGGGAGACTGGGAGAAGTCTGGGGCTGCTGCTAGCACTCAGACGTACGCCTTTGTTCCTCAGGGGGCCGGTCCCCGTCCTGGACTGCTGTCCCTGAACTGGTCACCGTCACTCAGTTGGCGGAGCCGCTGCCCGAATATGGGGACCGAGGTGTACGTGTGGCATGGTGGGAGGTGCCAGCACAAAACCCTACAAGGTCCCGGAGAGCCCCTGGCGCCGCACGCCATGCCTCGGCCCGATGGGAATGGGGGGCGCGGACGTGCCAGCCCGGAAGGTGGAGGCGGACGTCTCCATCCCAGCTGTTCTCTTGGCCCCGCAACACTCAGGACCTAAAATAGCCAGTTCACCCCAGGTCAGCCTTGTGAGGGCCGACGTCTCACCCCTCCCCAGCAAGGGCTCTCCAGCCCAGGGCCTCGGCCCAGCGGTCGCATTTCCACTCGGAGCCGCTTCGCAGTGGAGTTGCGAGTTGCAGGAGCGAGGCCTGATCAAGACATACGGAGGGTGCGGAGGAGACTCGAACAGCCGGGAAGAGCGTGAGTGCTCGCCCCTGCCCAAGATGGGGGCTGTCGGCGGCCGCCAGGGCTCCGGGCCACCAGCCCAGCCGCCTCCTGCTGTCAGGCCCGCGTGCCAGGCCCGGCTCCGAGGGCCGCGGGCTCCACGCATCCGCGCGGGCCGCTCCGGGCGCTCCGGGCGCTCCGGGCGCTCCGGGCGCTCCGGGCCGGAGCCTTCTCTCGCGCGCGCCCCTGAACCTGGCACAGACACTGCCCAATAACTTCGAACAATACGGGAGAGAAAAAAGAGAGAGAGAGACAGAAAAGAAAAAGGAAAAGAAAGAAAGAAGGAAAGAAAGAAGGAAAGAAAGAAAGAAACCAGTTTGCCGCATAAACCTACAAGTCACTCTCCAAGTTTTCCTGGCTTCTCGTAAAGGTGTCCCGGGCTGTTTACAGTAAGAGCAGAACAATGTTTGCGACTGTACGACATAATTATCTCCAGACTTGCCTCTCCCCCGCTCCCAGCTAGGGTTTTCACCAGCGAAAGCGGCTAATGCATTTGCACACATTAAACATCTTGAACGCATAATTACAGGCTGCAGACAGGCTGAACAATAAAATATCTCGGCTCGATATTTTTGGAAGCCTTTTGCGACTGTGCCTGGAATAAATAACAACTGCTTTCTATGTCCTGAGCCATCTAATGCTGCCACCATAATATCAGAAAACTCCCTCTCTACCCGCCCCTAGTACTTTGAGAAAAGATGCGAGGAGTGGGAGGTGGGTACAGGCAGGAGGGTGTAGCCTCCTGGAGGGGTCTCTGGGCCTCAAGCTCCGCTTCAGGGTGCGTTTGGGCAGAGGTGACTGGTTCTGAGCCTCAGAGGCCTCCTTCCTCATCAGAGGGACCAAGTGGGGCCAGCTAGGCCTCTCAGCCTCTGGGCACTGCCCTCCACCAACCTCTGCCTACTTAAAGGCTAAAGAATTTGAAGAAAGAGCAGATTGTCATGTTCACACCTCACAGCCGTAAAGGGCATCTTTAGACTGGGCTGGTTCCTGCTACCTGAGAAATCTGCTGGAAAAGAAAGAGCTCCCTATTGAAGCAGCAAGACTGGGAGAAGGAAGCTGGGAGTGGTTATTTTCTCCCACGGAGGCCTGGGACGCTCTAGCTTCCCTTGAGTCTTAGTTGCCATGTCTGTAAAATGGAGATGATTATAATAACCTCGGGACCTACTTCACAGGTTGTTAGGAGGAAGCACTTAAATTTTTTTTATTGCCATATAACTTATATATATAGCAAAGCATAAAAATCTTAAGCACCCAGCTCGCTGAATTTTTATATGTGTATACACTTGTGTAACTACTACCCAGATTAAGATATAGAACATTACGAACCCCTAAAAGGGTCCACAAAGAAGCACTTTTAAAACTAACTTTAGTCAATGATAATATTGTCACTAACTCAAGAAGTCAACACCCCAGTCAAGTATGTGGAGCTTCTTGATCCTTAGGGAAAAAAATTGAAAAACCAAATATACACATAAAGAATATTTACTATTCACACCATGGCTAGGGGATGTGAGAATCTCTAAACTGAAGGAGCATGGGGGTGGGGTGGAGCCTTGTCTATAAACCCTCAGACACTCAGAAATTTGGGGAAAATTGAAGATAAGGCTTTAATTCATTTTGACACAATGGAGTTCTCCTGATGCTGTGAACAGCTGGGATTCTGTATAGTGAGTTGGCATGTTCATTTCTAGGTGAGGGCAAACCTAGCAGAGAAAGGCCTCAGAACCCCTCCCAAGGGATGGGAATCTGAGTGGATGCCTATAGGACTGAAGTCTGAGCTTTGGGGTGACTTATTTCAAAGTCTCCCCTGAATCCAAATCTGGATTGATGTGTGAAGGGAATGTTTGGCCATGAGATAAACGGGGCACCCTATTTCCTGAAAACTGTAACGCCACTAGCTAACACAGGAAATTGGTGCAAATTACAAACAATACAAAAGAATTGACAGTAAAAAGTGAATTTTCCCTCCGACCCGCCGACCTCAGTTCTCTCCAGAGGAAGCCACTGTTATTAACGGCCTGACTATCCTTCCACCCCTTGTTACACACCCCCTCTTTTAAACCACACTGGTAGCCCTCAATATCCATGCTGCCCTGGCCCTGGATTTTTTTTTCTCATTAACTGTCCAAGGCAATTCTCTATGATGCATGTATTGGTTCAGAACGTTATGTTCAGCACTGGTGACTCAACCCAGCTGAAAATCAAGCTAACTTTGTGTGGCCTTGCTTGAGGGAAGGGCTGCCACAGCCTGGGTTCTAGATCCTGACCAACCTCTAAAGGGCTTGGCAACCTTCAAAACTATCAACTAACTTGTCTGCACCATTCATCATTACCAGCAACCCCCCATCTCTCCTTGAGTGACCAGAACCACACTGGGGGAGATAATCAAGGCACTGACCATAACTTTGGACCTACAACTATTCTCTAGAGTCAGGGGAAATTGGAAGTGCCTCTTGGAATTTTTAACTATTCTGTCTAGTAGCTATAAAAACTGTGCTCCAGTCATTAGCCCACCCTGGGTGTCTGCCTCCGATCTTATTTCCTCAGTCCTCTTTGGAGCTCAATGGGATGGCCCTGGTGCTGGCCCCCACCCAGGCCTGAACAGAGGCAGGAGGGCACAGTGGGGGCCTCAGCCCCAGACCTTGAACCCCGCAGTGTCTGCCAGGAGACGTCGGAGGAAACGTGTTTACCACCTGGGCGACCTTGACTGCAGCCGATTAAAGTTTAATCCGAGGTGTGTACTCAGCCTTGCCATGTTATTTAAACACATCAAAGGTCATAAAAAGATTCCAATGGCGTGAGCGGGTCCGACGCGGGCCCGCAGGGAGCCGGCGTTTAGTTCTGATGGATTTCCATTGCCAGGATTTGGAGCATGGGGCGGGGCAGGGGCCATAAGAAAGAAAGAAAAAGGTCTGCTTTCCCAAGGGAACGCCAGACTTCAAAAAGCGGCAGGGGAAACCGAGTCTCTGGCACCTGGAAGAGACAGCGCCCTTCAATTCCAATTAACTGGGAAGACATCTAGTGGGAAGAGGTCGCAACTGCAGCAGCGCCTTGCAAGCATCTCCACCTCAGCCAGCCGCTAAACTGCGTGGGAATGGGAGGGCCGAAAAGAAAACACCCTTTCTCCCTGGCCACCTCCTTGAAGGACGCGACTGTCTCAAAGTTCCCTTGGCCAGGGTTTTACTCAGGGCCAAGGCGCTATTTCCACTTCGGAGAGGAAAGGTCCAGTTCTCATTGGTTTCCTCTCTCAGGATTGGGGTCCTGGTCAGCCAACTGAGGGCATATGGGGCCCAGGATCCCCATATTCCCATTCAACTCTTCCTGGGGGTTCCTGAACCCAGAGCCAGTGGAGTCTGGGAGCAACATATGTGGGTTCTCCTCCAGGGTCCTGAGTGACTCTGGGGACCAACAGATCATCACAGAATTCAAGTGGGCCAAATGCCCAGAAGGCCATCCCACCCAGTGGTCTGCTTTGAGCTCTTGCCACCTGTGGACTGACATTGGTCAGGTGCACTGCAGAGCTGTAGAAGTCCAGCTTCCCAGGGTGCACAGGTGGTGTTTTCACTGCATCTCTGTCATAGAGACATCTGACCTTGCCCTGTCTGCTTCCTCTTGCCCAGACTGCCTAATTTCTATGGAGGACTGGGCATGTTTCATGACCTTGGGAGAAGAAGCCTTACTATGGTATGCTATCTCTTACATTATTAGCTCTCCCAGCCTCACCAGAGCCTCTTCCTAACCTGGAAGCAGGCAGAAAGATAGGTGGATTCTGTTTGAACCTTCCCATCTGCCTCAAAGATGCCAATTAGAGCTTCTCTCTTGGCCAGCTTCACCTGTTTAAAGCAGAGTCCTCCCCTCAGGCTCTCCTGGCTGACCACTTTGGCTAGAACTAAGTTTTCCCTCTTGTCACATTGACTGTGGCACTATATCATCTTAGAATTGTCAGGGAGGAAGAGCGGCACCAGGGTGACTTCTGATGATACAAATGGCCAAGGGATGTGTATGTGCTATATTTCGATGTGTGAATGAATCCCAGGACTTCGAGGATACATGACTGGGCCCCCCAATAGTGGGCCTGCAACTCCACTGATTTCCAGGCCCTCTGGGGTAGGGACTGCAGGGGACAGTGATGACTGCTGAAAGTTGCCCTTGGTAGAAGGACCCCACCTTATGCTCAGTCCAAGGTTGTCAGAAGTGGCCTCCTCCCTCCTTCTTTTGCACATCAAGTTGCCATCTCCATACCTGCCCATACTCCAAAGCTTAAACACTCCCTCATTCTCAAAGGAAGGCTCAAGAAACTCTTGTCTTTGTGTTATCCTTTCACCACCATCCCCACCGCACAATAAAGTAACTGGAAACAGTGGATAAGACCATCATAGACAAATGCTTTGAAGCCCTTCACCAAGATGTTAGTCAGTCCTGTCACACAATGAAGTACTTCCCCAAAGGAATATGGCTCCTTCTGCCCTTTCCTCTTCATCACCTCTTAGCTGGGTGAAATCTTGTCCCTCATGTAGAGAGACTCCCTTCGGTTTTATTGAATCTGATACAGACCATTAGAGTGGCGGTGAGTGATGGGGGTTGAGGGGAGGACTACATCTGGTTAAACCAGCTTTAACTTCAGGGAATGAAAAACTGAGACTTGGGTCCTGTAGAAACCCAAACTTGGGATCCAAGGGCCTGGAGCAGTCTGGGTCTCAGGCAAGCTCAATGGGCTGATATGTGTGCTTGGAACAGAGCTGACTCCTCACTCTCCCGTGGTTACACAAACAATCCAGAAAGCCCCTTCCCAGCCCACCTGGCTAAGCAGGCACTGGACCTGTGGCTAGATCCCACAGACCCAGCCAGCCCTGCTCTGTTCTGCTCCCAGCTCAGGCCCATGGGGACGTCTCTTCCTGTGGGTGACAAACGAGTCTGTTTGCTCTCAGTGACATCAAATTACTTTGCACCAGCCAAGGGTCCCATGACCCGACATAACCCCACATTAGGTCCTAGAAATGTAAAGAAATATGGCCTTTTTAAAAGTGACTGAGAGCAGGTAATTGCTAGCAGGCTTGCGGGTTTCTCCCAAGTAGGGCTCACGACCTATGCTGGGGCAGCCGATACCAGCCAGAAGTCCTTGTGTGGGCTCTCTGCAGGCAGAAGATCACACTCACATTT